AATTGTATTTATTAATTCCATAATCATAGGAACTCTCATTGCAATTTCATCATACTCATGATTAAGAATATGGATAGGACTAGAAATTAACCTACTCTCAGTAATCCCACTATTTTCAGACAGAAAAAACATATTTTCCTCAGAATCATCAATAAAATACTTTATTACACAGGCAATAGCATCCTTAATTCTACTAATAGCAGTTATAATAACATTGACAACTCAAGAATTTATTAACCCCCTAATAAATTTTTATTTTTCAATAATAATTACAACTGCATTAATAACAAAATTAGGAGCCGCCCCATTCCATTTCTGATTTCCCGAAGTAATTGAAGGTTTAAATTGAACCAATTCCTTAATTCTGCTAACTTGACAAAAAATTGCCCCAATAATATTAATTATAAATATTAATCTAAATGAACTTTTCCTTGTTTCAATCATTATCATCAGACTTTTAACAAGAACAATTAGAGGGTTCAATCAAATTAGCCTACGTAAAATTCTTGCATTTTCCTCAATTAACCATATCGCATGAATATTATCTACATCAATAATATCGCTAGCCACATGATCAGTTTACTTCATCATTTACTCAATCATAAATATTAACATCATTGCAGTATTCGCTACAACTAAATCTTTTTACTTAAATCAAATTATCAACATCATAAACAATAGAAAAATAACCAAATTCTCAATCATAATAAACTTTATGTCTCTTGGAGGATTACCTCCCTTTATTGGTTTTCTTCCTAAATGAATTGTAATCAACTGAATAACTGAAAACAACTTCATTCTTCTTACTATCCTAATAATCGTCACTACCCTAATTATATTATTCATTTACATTCGAGTAATAATATCTTCCATAATCATTAGCATCAACGAACCAAAAACATCTACAATTAAATTCAACAACAAAAACCTGATAACAATCAATATCATTACTCTACTTAGTTTAATCTTATCAACCCTTATCATTAATATCTTATAAGGATTTAAGTTAAATTAAACTTGTAACCTTCAAAGTTACCAATAGAATAAACATTCTAAGCCTTGGCACTCAAGTTTAAAAAATTACTTACCTTTAAATTTGCAATTTAAAATCATTATTGACTATTAAACCAAAACGAAAAAAAAAAACTACTAGCTTTATGTAATAAAAGCTTTATAGAATAGGAATTATATCTAAATACGGTTATTATTACGTTTTATTTTTAAATAAGTTTAAACAACAGAAACATAAACCTTTCAAAAAAATTGTAAATTTATTTACGGGTTTAAATTCTATTCTTAAACTGGTAACAGAGTCTAAACCCGTAAATAAATTTACAATTTATCGCTTAATCTCAGCCATATTACCGAATAAATGATTATTTTCTACCAACCACAAAGATATTGGAACACTTTACTTCATTTTTGGTGCATGATCCGGTATAGTCGGAACCTCTCTTAGACTCCTAATTCGAGCAGAATTAGGAAACCCAGGATCTCTAATTGGTGACGACCAAATTTATAACGTAATTGTCACAGCCCATGCGTTCATTATAATTTTTTTTATAGTAATGCCTATTATAATTGGAGGATTCGGAAATTGACTTGTTCCCCTGATACTAGGAGCCCCTGATATAGCATTCCCACGAATAAACAATATAAGATTCTGGCTTCTCCCCCCATCATTAACTTTACTTCTAATAAGAAGAATCGTAGAAAGAGGAGCAGGAACTGGATGAACAGTTTATCCCCCATTATCATCCAATATCGCTCATGGAGGGGCATCAGTCGATCTCGCAATTTTTAGTCTCCATTTAGCAGGTATTTCTTCCATTTTAGGAGCCGCTAATTTCATTACCACAGTTATTAATATACGACCACAAGGAATAACTTTTGATCGAATACCCCTATTTGTCTGAGCTGTTGTAATTACTGCAGTTCTTCTTCTTCTTTCACTTCCAGTACTAGCAGGTGCCATTACTATACTTCTTACTGACCGAAACATCAATACATCTTTCTTTGATCCAGCAGGAGGAGGAGATCCCATTTTATACCAACATCTATTTTGATTTTTTGGACACCCTGAAGTTTATATTCTAATTCTACCAGGATTCGGAATAATTTCCCACATTATTAGACAAGAAAGAGGAAAAAAGGAAGCTTTTGGCACTCTGGGAATAATTTATGCCATAATAGCAATTGGTCTTTTAGGATTTGTAGTTTGAGCTCATCACATATTTACAGTCGGAATAGACGTTGACACTCGAGCCTATTTCACATCAGCTACTATAATCATTGCTGTTCCTACAGGAATTAAAATTTTTAGTTGATTAGCAACTCTACATGGCACACAACTTAATTACTCTCCCTCAATATTATGAGCTCTAGGATTCGTATTTTTATTTACAGTGGGGGGACTAACTGGAGTAGTACTAGCTAACTCATCTATTGATATTATACTTCATGATACATATTACGTTGTAGCCCATTTCCACTATGTTCTTTCTATAGGAGCAGTATTTGCAATTATAGGAGGATTAGTTCACTGATTTCCTTTATTCACAGGAACTACCTTAAATCCTAAGCTATGCAAAATTCAATTTATTACTATATTTGTAGGAGTCAACATTACATTCTTTCCTCAACACTTCCTAGGATTAAGAGGTATACCCCGTCGATACTCGGACTATCCTGATGCTTATACCATGTGAAATATTGTTTCTTCTATCGGATCAATTATTTCTTTTATTGGAGTAATATATAATGCTAATTTAGTTTCTAGCTAAAATTTGATGGTTTCGTTGCACTTTCCGAGCCCGTAGGGTATCTGATTGGCTTAAAAGTACAAGAAAACACTTCAAAAGTGACGTTTCTGAAGAATTTTAACAGTTTCCTTGTATCTACGAACGCCAGAATGCATAAAATTGACCTAAACGTCTCCTTTTCCTATTCTGAGTCGATTCTGCATGCTTTAAGTGTGTTTGGTGGCTCAAAACCATCAAAAAACGTTGAAATATAGTTCAAATTCAATAAAAATCGACAAAAATACAGTTTCTAGCTAAAATTTGATGGTTTCGTTGCACTTTCCGAGCCCGTAGGGTATCTGATTGGCTTAAAAGTACAAGAAAACACTTCAAAAGTGACGTTTCTGAAGAATTTTAACAGTTTTCTTGTATCTACGAACGCCAGAATGCATAAAATTGACCTAAACGTCTCCTTTTCCTATTCTGAGTCGATTCTGCATGCTTTAAGTGTGTTTGGTGGCTCAGAACCATCAAAAAACGTTGAAATATAGTTCAAATTCAATAAAAATCGACAAAAATACAGTTTCTAGCTAAAATTTGATGGTTTCGTTGCACTTTCCGAGCCCGTTGGGTATCTGATTGGCTTAAAAGTACAAGAAAACACTTCAAAAGTGACGTTTCTGAAGAATTTTAACAGTTTTCTTGTATCTACGAACGCCAGAATGCATAAAATTGACCTAAACGTCTCCTTTTCCTATTCTGAGTCGATTCTGCATGCTTTAAGTGTGTTTGGTGGCTCAGAACCATCAAAAAACGTTGAAATATAGTTCAAATTCAATAAAAATCGACAAAAATACAGTTTCTAGCTAAAATTTGATGGTTTCGTTGCACTTTCCGAGCCCGTAGGGTATCTGATTGGCTTAAAAGTACAAGAAAACACTTCAAAAGTGACGTTTCTGAAGAATTTTAACAGTTTTCTTGTATCTACGAACGCCAGAATGCATAAAATTGACCTAAACGTCTCCTTTTCCTATTCTGAGTCGATTCTGCATGCTTTAAGTGTGTTTGGTGGCTCAGAACCATCAAAAAACGTTGAAATATAGTTCAAATCCAATAACCCTCTAGGACTTAATAGAAACATTGACACAATTCCCTTCCACCCCTATTTTTCATACAAGGACGTAATAGGATTTCTTCTTATATTATTAACTCTTACTGCACTTTCACTTCTCCATCCTTATATATTAGGAGATCCAGACAATTTCACACCAGCTAACCCCCTTGTTACCCCCGTTCATATTCAACCAGAATGATATTTTTTATTTGCCTATGCAATTCTCCGTTCAATTCCTAACAAACTAGGAGGAGTAATCGCCTTAGCAATGTCAATTGCCATCCTATACATCCTACCCTTCACAAACAAAAAAAAATTCACAAGAAGACAGTTCTATCCCTTAAACAAAACTCTTTTTTGATCAATAGTATCAATAGTAATTCTATTAACTTGAATTGGAGCCCGACCTGTAGAAGACCCCTACATTATTACAGGACAAACCCTTACTGTCCTATACTTTCTATATTACATTATTAACCCTTTAACATTCAAAATTTGAGACAAAATTATTAATTAACTAATGAACTTGAACAAGTATATATTTTGAAAATATATGAAAGAAACAAAAATTTTCTATTAGTTTATACTAAATTTTTTTAACTACAATAAAAGGACAAAAATCATCACCTTTAATCCAAAAAACAAAAACAAATAATTTAACGAACAAGGAAGAAAACTTTTCCAAGCTAAATACATCAACTTATCATAACGAAACCGAGGAAGAGTTCCACGAACTCATAACCAAAAAAATGATACAAACACCAACTTAACAAAAAAAATAAAAGAATTTAAATCACCTCCTAAAAAAAGTATAACTCTAATTATTCTCATAAAAAGAATTCTTGCATATTCAGCAAGAAAAATTATTGCAAAACCCCCTCTTCTATACTCAACATTAAAACCAGAAACCAACTCAGATTCACCTTCTGCAAAATCAAAAGGAGTACGATTAGTTTCAGCCAATCCCGAAATCAGCCATATTAAACTTAGAGGCAAACACAAAAAAATAAATCAACCATAATTCTGAACATAATAATAATCAAGCAAATTAAAACTCAAAGACAAAAAAATAAAAGATATTATAATTAAAGCCAACCTCACCTCATAAGAAATAGTTTGAGCAACAGAACGTAAACCTCCCAACAATGAGTAAGAAGAATTAGAAGACCATCCAGCTATTATGATAGTATAAACTCCTAATCTAGAAACTCTCAAAAAAAACAATAAAGATAAATTAAAATTTAAACACACTCTTAAAAAAGGCATCATCATTCACAAGAAAAGAGAAATAAATAAATTAACGACAGGACAAAAATAATAAATATTAAAATTTGACATAACAGGAAAAGTTTGTTCCTTAGTAAACAACTTAATTGCATCAGCAAACGGCTGTAACAACCCAATAAAACCAACCTTATTAGGACCCTTACGAATTTGAATATAACCCAAAACCTTTCGCTCAAGCAAAGTAAGAAAAGCAACCCCCACCAAAACACAGATAATTAATAAAACCAAAGAAATTAAAATCAATAATAAATCCTTCAAAACCAATATTATTTGTAATTTAAATTACATAAAAAGATTCTAAATCTATCGCACTAATCTGCCAAAATAATAATAGAATTCAAAATAAAAATATAATTTAAATAAATGGTCCTTTCGTACTAAAATATTTTAAAATAATAAAAGATAGAAACTAACCTGGCTCACGCCGGTCTAAACTCAGATCATGTAAAGTTTTAAAGGTCGAACAGACCTAATTAAGCAGCTGCTACACCACTCATTAACCTTAATCCAACATCGAGGTCGCAAACTTTTTTATCAATAAGAACTTTCAAAAAAAATTACGCTGTTATCCCTAAGGTAATTTAATCTTATAATCCAAAAATAAGGATCAAATACTCACTAACTAATGTAAAAATAATAAAAAGTTAATTTAATTTTTATATCACCCCAACAAAATAAATTTAATAAAAAACTAAAAACCTATTATATACTCATTAAATTTATAAAACTCTATAGGGTCTTCTCGTCTTTATATAAAATTTAAGCTTTTTTACTCAAAAATCAAGTTCTAATTACAACAAAGAGACAGCTTATTTCTCATCAAACCTTTCATACCAGCTTCCAATTAAAAAACTAATGATTATGCTACCTTTGCACAGTCAAAGTACTGCGGCCATTTAAATAATCATTGGGCAGGCCTGACCTTAAATCAACAACAAAAAGACATGTTTTTAATAAACAGGTGGAAACAATTATTTGCCGAGTTCCTTTTTATCGTCTAAAAAAACAAATTTACTCACACACAAAATATATACTAATTTAATCATTATTACACAGCAAACAAAATTAAAACCAATATTTTAGTAAAAATTTAAAATAAACATAAAACAAATAAAATAAATCTTCAATTATAACATCCTCCTAATGATAAAAAATTCTAATCCTACATAAGATTTACTAAACAAAAAATTATAAAAATTTACTTAAAAGCTCATCCCCTTAAGCATTACATAATAACAAGAAAAAAATAACAATAAATAATTTTCCTAATATTAAAATAATTAAATTAATTTCCTAAAAAACCAGATAAATTTAGAAACGAATAACATTTCACTACTATAAATCAATTATAAATGGTTATTCCACAACAAAATAAATTAACTTATAGCTCTTCTAAATTCGGGAAAACTAAATATTTAATACTAAATTAATTAACCCTGATACACAAGGTACAATAAACTAAATCTACTTATAAAAATTAAAAGAAAATCTCTTACAATACAATAAACTATAGTTAACAAAATTTTTTCTAATAAAAATAATAAAAATTAATATATTTCCAATAAAAATTTAACAACAATAAAATAAACAACACCCTAAACTCAAATTAAATTGAATTTCACAATTAACTTTTTAGTGTAAATAAAACGCTTCTCTCAAGCTCTAATTTGTTCATTCCAGGCTCATTTTCCAATAAGCCTACTTTGTTACGACTTATTTCACTTTAAAATGAAAGCGACGGGCGATATGTGCATATTTTAGAGCTAAATCAATTCCCATAAATAAAGAACTTACTATCAAATCCAATTTAATTTAAATTTTAAATGAAAAAGCCAAAAATTATATCATTGTAACCCATTTTAACTTTAATATAAACTACACCTTGATCTGAAATACTTTATAATCAAAAATCATAAAAATTGTTATTCTCTTAAAATTTTTATAAACGACGATATGCAAATTAAAAACTAAAGTAAAAATTATCGTGGACCATCAATTAAAAAACAGGTTCCTCTGAACAGACTAAAATACCGCCAAATTTTTTAATTTTAAAGACCATAACTACTAATAATCAAAGAACAAAAATTCACATATGAAATAATAGGGTATCTAATCCTAGTCTACAAACAAATTTTACAGCCTCAAAAACTAATATAGAAAATAATTCAATTTTAAATTTCACCTAAAAAACCAAAATTATAATCCAAAAAATTAACTTTTAACTAATCTCGAAAAGTTTTACTTACATAATTTGTATAACCGCTACTGCTGGCACAAATTTTGTTTATGTTAAGAACAATTGCTAAATCTCAAAATAATGAAAATTTAAAATTATATACTACCAATTAAACTCAAATTTCTATCTAAAACCAACTTAAGCTAAAACTTATATATATATCAATCCTCAAGAAAAACCCTAAGCCAAAATAAAACTTTTCTTACACGCCGCCCAAACCTAACCCTAAATGAACTATCTCCCTAGACTTTTTTCACGCCCCCTTTAATTATTTAATTATAAACAACAAATTTCTAACTCTATATTTATAATTACTTATTTAAAAATAAAACGTAATAATAACCGTATTTAGATATAATTCCTATTCTATAAAGCTTTTATTATATAAAGCTAGTAGTTTTTTTTTTTATATAAATAATTTATGAGTATCCAATTAACATTAGATAAATTTATTATTATTAAAGATACTATTCTATAATTGAATTATATATATATAAATAATTTATTATATAATAATATAAGTATCTAATGATAATATTTAATTTTTATTAAATTTCTCTCTCTTTTTTTTAGAGTCTTTATTATTAAATAAGAATAGTATATAAATTGGTATTATATAATAATTAAATACACCTACATACAAATATACTTTCATTATAATAATCAGTTTACGTCATGTATATATTATTGTATACTCTTCTCTACTATTTAATAAGTTTTAATTATTTGAGCACCCTTGAACAAAACTTTTTTAAAAAATTTCTGAATTATCATAGTAATGCCCTAGTTAATATAAAATCAGGAAAAATGACCCCGAAAAAAAAAAAACGTTTAAATTACATTTTTTTTTTTTTAACAATTTTATAATAACAAAACCAAAAATTCACCCCAATTAACTTCTCCCTTGAACTTTTTTTTTTATACATAAAGTTTTAACAATGAAGTGCCTGATAAAAGGAATATTTTGATAGAATAAATTATGTATAAAAATACCTTCATTATATCTAATAGAATCAAACTATTTCCTAGAGCATCAAAAACCCTTATACGTCTTATACTAAGATATAAAAAGGTAAGCTAAGTAAGCTTATAGGTTCATACCCTGTCAATGAAAGTAAAACCTTTCCCTTTTTAATTAAAATTTATAAAATTGTATTTATTAATTCCATAATCATAGGAACTCTCATTGCAATTTCATCATACTCATGATTAAGAATATGGATAGGACTAGAAATTAACCTACTCTCAGTAATCCCACTATTTTCAGACAGAAAAAACATATTTTCCTCAGAATCATCAATAAAATACTTTATTACACAGGCAATAGCATCCTTAATTCTACTAATAGCAGTTATAATAACATTGACAACTCAAGAATTTATTAACCCCCTAATAAATTTTTATTTTTCAATAATAATTACAACTGCATTAATAACAAAATTAGGAGCCGCCCCATTCCATTTCTGATTTCCCGAAGTAATTGAAGGTTTAAATTGAACCAATTCCTTAATTCTGCTAACTTGACAAAAAATTGCCCCAATAATATTAATTATAAATATTAATCTAAATGAACTTTTCCTTGTTTCAATCATTATCATCAGACTTTTAACAAGAACAATTAGAGGGTTCAATCAAATTAGCCTACGTAAAATTCTTGCATTTTCCTCAATTAACCATATCGCATGAATATTATCTACATCAATAATATCGCTAGCCACATGATCAGTTTACTAGCTAAAATTTGATGGTTTCGTTGCACTTTCCGAGCCGGTAGGGTATCTGATTGGCTTAAAAGTACAAGAAAACACTTCAAAAGTGACGTTTCTGAAGAATTTTAACAGTTTTCTTGTATCTACGAACGCCAGAATGCATAAAATTGACCTAAACGTCTCCTTTTCCTATTCTGAGTCGATTCTGCATGCTTTAAGTGTGTTTGGTGGCTCAGAACCATCAAAAAACGTTGAAATATAGTTCAAATTCAATAAAAATCGACAAAAATACAGTTTCTAGCTAAAATTTGATGGTTTCGTTGCACTTTCCGAGCCCGTAGGGTATCTGATTGGCTTAAAAGTGCAAGAAAACACTTCAAAAGTGACGTTTCTGAAGAATTTTAACAGTTTTCTTGTATCTACGAACGCCAGAATGCATAAAATTGACCTAAACGTCTCCTTTTCCTATTCTGAGTCGATTCTGCATGCTTTAAGTGTGTTTGGTGGCTCAGAACCATCAAAAAACGTTGAAATATAGTTCAAATTCAATAAAAATCGACAAAAATACAGTTTCTAGCTAAAATTTGATGGTTTCGTTGCACTTTCCGAGCCCGTAGGGTATCTGATTGGCTTAAAAGTACAAGAAAACACTTCAAAAGTGACGTTTCTGAAGAATTTTAACAGTTTTCTTGTATCTACGAACGCCAGAATGCATAAAATTGACCTAAACGTCTCCTTTTCCTATTCTGAGTCGATTCTGCATGCTTTAAGTGTGTTTGGTGGCTCAGAACCATCAAAAAACGTTGAAATATAGTTCAAATTCAATAAAAATCGACAAAAATACAGTTTCTAGCTAAAATTTGATGGTTTCGTTGCACTTTCCGAGCCCGTAGGGTATCTGATTGGCTTAAAAGTGCAAGAAAACACTTCAAAAGTGACGTTTCTGAAGAATTTTAACAGTTTTCTTGTATCTACGAACGCCAGAATGCATAAAATTGACCTAAACGTCTCCTTTTCCTATTCTGAGTCGATTCTGCATGCTTTAAGTGTGTTTGGTGGCTCAGAACCATCAAAAAACGTTGAAATATAGTTCAAATTCAATAAAAATCGACAAAAATACAGTTTCTAGCTAAAATTTGATGGTTTCGTTGCACTTTCCGAGCCCGTAGGGTATCTGATTGGCTTAAAAGTACAAGAAAACACTTCAAAAGTGACGTTTCTGAAGAATTTTAACAGTTTTCTTGTATCTACGAACACCAGAATGCATAAAATTGACCTAAACGTCTCCTTTTCCTATTCTGAGTCGATTCTGCATGCTTTAAGTGTGTTTGGTGGCTCAGAACCATAAAAAAACGTTGAAATATAGTTCAAATTCAATAAAAATCGACAAAAATACAGTTTCTAGCTAAAATTTGATGGTTTCGTTGCACTTTCCGAGCCCGTAAGCCCGTTGGGTATCTGATTGGCTTAAAAGTACAAGAAAACACTTCAAAAGTGACGTTTCTGAAGAATTTTAACAGTTTTCTTGTATCTACGAACGCCAGAATGCATAAAATTGACCTAAACGTCTCCTTTTCCTATTCTGAGTCGATTCTGCATGCTTTAAGTGTGTTTGGTGGCTCAGAACCATCAAAAAACGTTGAAATATAGTTCAAATTCAATAAAAATCGACAAAAATACAGTTTCTAGCTAAAATTTGATGGTTTCGTTGCACTTTCCGAGCCCGTAGGGTATCTGATTGGCTTAAAAGTACAAGAAAACACTTCAAAAGTGACGTTTCTGAAGAATTTTAACAGTTTTCTTGTATCTACGAACGCCAGAATGCATAAAATTGACCTAAACGTCTCCTTTTCCTATTCTGAGTCGATTCTGCATGCTTTAAGTGTGTTTGGTGGCTCAGAACCATCAAAAAACGTTGAAATATAGTTCAAATTCAATAAAAATCGACAAAAATACAGTTTCTAGCTAAAATTTGATGGTTTCGTTGCACTTTCCGAGCCCGTAGGGTATCTGATTGGCTTAAAAGTACAAGAAAACACTTCAAAAGTGACGTTTCTGAAGAATTTTAACAGTTTTCTTGTATCTACGAACGCCAGAATGCATAAAATTGACCTAAACGTCTCCTTTTCCTATTCTGAGTCGATTCTGCATGCTTTAAGTGTGTTTGGTGGCTCAGAACCATCAAAAAACGTTGAAATATAGTTCAAATTCAATAAAAATCGACAAAAATACAGTTTCTAGCTAAAATTTGATGGTTTCGTTGCACTTTCCGAGCCCGTAGGGTATCTGATTGGCTTAAAAGTACAAGAAAACACTTCAAAAGTGACGTTTCTGAAGAATTTTAACAGTTTTCTTGTATCTACGAACGCCAGAATGCATAAAATTGACCTAAACGTCTCCTTTTCCTATTCTGAGTCGATTCTGCATGCTTTAAGTGTGTTTGGTGGCTCAGAACCATCAAAAAACGTTGAAATATAGTTCAAATTCAATAAAAATCGACAAAAATACAGTTTCTAGCTAAAATTTGATGGTTTCGTTGCACTTTCCGAGCCCGTTGGGTATCTGATTGGCTTAAAAGTACAAGAAAACACTTCAAAAGTGACGTTTCTGAAGAATTTTAACAGTTTTCTTGTATCTACGAACGCCAGAATGCATAAAATTGACCTAAACGTCTCCTTTTCCTATTCTGAGTCGATTCTGCATGCTTTAAGTGTGTTTGGTGGCTCAGAACCATCAAAAAACGTTGAAATATAGTTCAAATTCAATAAAAATCGACAAAAATACAGTTTCTAGCTAAAATTTGATGGTTTCGTTGCACTTTCCGAGCCCGTAGGGTATCTGATTGGCTTAAAAGTACAAGAAAACACTTCAAAAGTGACGTTTCTGAAGAATTTTAACAGTTTTCTTGTATCTACGAACGCCAGAATGCATAAAATTGACCTAAACGTCTCCTTTTCCTATTCTGAGTCGATTCTGCATGCTTTAAGTGTGTTTGGTGGCTCAGAACCATCAAAAAACGTTGAAATATAGTTCAAATCCAATAACCCTCTAGGACTTAATAGAAACATTGACAAAATTCCCTTCCACCCCTATTTTTCATACAAGGACGTAATAGGATTTCTTCTTATATTATTAACTCTTACTGCACTTTCACTTCTCCATCCTTATATATTAGGAGATCCAGACAATTTCACACCAGCTAACCCCCTTGTTACCCCCGTTCATATTCAACCAGAATGATATTTTTTATTTGCCTATGCAATTCTCCGTTCAATTCCTAACAAACTAGGAGGAGTAATCGCCTTAGCAATGTCAATTGCCATCCTATACATCCTACCCTTCACAAACAAAAAAAAATTCACAAGAAGACAGTTCTATCCCTTAAACAAAACTCTTTTTTGATCAATAGTATCAATAGTAATTCTATTAACTTGAATTGGAGCCCGACCTGTAGAAGACCCCTACATTATTACAGGACAAACCCTTACTGTCCTATACTTTCTATATTACATTATTAACCCTTTAACATTCAAAATTTGAGACAAAATTATTAATTAACTAATGAACTTGAACAAGTATATATTTTGAAAATATATGAAAGAAACAAAAATTTTCTATTAGTTTATACTAAATTTTTTTAACTACAATAAAAGGACAAAAATCATCACCTTTAATCCAAAAACAAAAACAAATAATTTAACGAACAAGGAAGAAAACTTTTCCAAGCTAAATACATCAACTTATCATAACGAAACCGAGGAAGAGTTCCACGAACTCATAACCAAAAAAATGATACAAACACCAACTTAACAAAAAAAATAAAAGAATTTAAATCACCTCCTAAAAAAAGTATAACTCTAATTATTCTCATAAAAAGAATTCTTGCATATTCAGCAAGAAAAATTATTGCAAAACCCCCTCTTCTATACTCAACATTAAAACCAGAAACCAACTCAGATTCACCTTCTGCAAAATCAAAAGGAGTACGATTAGTTTCAGCCAATCCCGAAATCAGCCATATTAAACTTAGAGGCAAACACAAAAAAATAAATCAACCATAATTCTGAACATAATAATAATCAAGCAAATTAAAACTCAAAGACAAAAAAATAAAAGATATTATAATTAAAGCCAACCTCACCTCATAAGAAATAGTTTGAGCAACAGAACGTAAACCTCCCAACAATGAGTAAGAAGAATTAGAAGACCATCCAGCTATTATGATAGTATAAACTCCTAATCTAGAAACTCTCAAAAAAAACAATAAAGATAAATTAAAATTTAAACACACTCTTAAAAAAGGCATCATCATTCACAAGAAAAGAGAAATAAATAAATTAACGACAGGACAAAAATAATAAATATTAAAATTTGACATAACAGGAAAAGTTTGTTCCTTAGTAAACAACTTAATTGCATCAGCAAACGGCTGTAACAACCCAATAAAACCAACCTTATTAGGACCCTTACGAATTTGAATATAACCCAAAACCTTTCGCTCAAGCAAAGTAAGAAAAGCAACCCCCACCAAAACACAGATAATTAATAAAACCAAAGAAATTAAAATCAATAATAAATCCTTCAAAACCAATATTATTTGTAATTTAAATTACATAAAAAGATTCTAAATCTATCGCACTAATCTGCCAAAATAATAATAGAATTCAAAATAAAAATATAATTTAAATAAATGGTCCTTTCGTACTAAAATATTTTAAAATAATAAAAGATAGAAACTAACCTGGCTCACGCCGGTCTAAACTCAGATCATGTAAAGTTTTAAAGGTCGAACAGACCTAATTAAGCAGCTGCTACACCACTCATTAACCTTAATCCAACATCGAGGTCGCAAACTTTTTTATCAATAAGAACTTTCAAAAAAAATTACGCTGTTATCCCTAAGGTAATTTAATCTTATAATCCAAAAATAAGGATCAAATACTCACTAACTAATGTAAAAATAATAAAAAGTTAATTTAATTTTTATATCACCCCAACAAAATAAATTTAATAAAAA